TTGACAAACAAAGATGATTTATTTATTTACAAGTTCCAGCCCTAATAAGTAAAATTGTATATTTTTCCAAATTACACCTGATGATCTCTCACGTCACACTAGTGTGCCGTGGACCAGGGGTTGGGAATCACTGGTTTACATTATACTTTCTGTGCAAGAAGGGATTTAGCGGACCATAAAAATCCACATCGTAGACGATGTGATCCAATGAACTGCAACGTTCAAGAAAAGTTAAATAGAAGAAAATACATGAAAATTCTAAATCGGTTCCATCAGGTACTGTTGGTGGCACCACGTTTGTCATTTTGGTTTTCCAAACTGAGGCCTTCAAAGGTTCAATATCCATTTCCAGGTGAGCTTTAGGGTCGAAACCCGGACATTCGACGTTGTCACAAAGGTCGTTCACAGCAGACAGTCTGTCGACCAGTCTGCAGCCCTGGTTGGTTGTTTAAAAATAATCTCCTGACAAGGTTTGGGGAACGATGACCTCCGTGTCGAAGAGTTCCATTAGGGCGCTCCGTGGGATGGATTGATGGCTTCAGTATGTCTAAACCAAACACATGGAGATAGGAGCGGCCACACTCAAAGACAGGACCAGACCCAGGGAGCCCCAAGTGGACAAGTGGTAAATCACAACAAACGTCACACGGTCCATCAGACGGACCACGACCCCTGGTCTGCGTCTGGTTTTGTTGGGATTTATTCTTCATATGAAGTTGAGAGGTTTTAAAACAATAATTTCTTAATTGAAAATAAATGCTTTTCAAAGATGATAAAATATCTGGAGTCACTGGAGACAAAACATCTGCCGTTTGAAATTCTCTCAACTGTCTTAGAACTTTTTGACTATATGTTGACTCTCAACGTGATGTCTGTCCACTTGACCTTTGACCAACTGTCCTTTCTGACATTATGGTCATATAAAGGGTCGTCCTCTTCCACCAGGGCTGGGACGTGAGGTCCGGTCTACGTATTAGGTCTGATCTAAAAAGACTCTCACGTTCGTCTTTCCTTTTCTGCTGCGTTGGAGTTAAGAAGTCGGCGTTGAATCAAATATTGATGTCAGTCGGAGACAGTGACGTCTCCGGAGCTCAGAGACATAAACACAATGATAATTAATTGAACAGGGTGTTGTCTTTCAGACCATTAAAAATGCAGGGTTCTAAAGAGAGTCCTGGGATTATGGTTCCCAGATTGGCCCGGTACCATTTTCTTTCATTCTAATGGGTTTCAGGACTTTATCCAAGTGGGCTTTAAAAAACCCCCGTTCCATGATTCACATCTAGTTGGTCCCGTTGGGCGCCCCCCCCCCCACTTTGGAAACCATCAACTTTATTTACCTATAGAAAGATTAAACTCATTTGGGCCGGGAACTGAAGTTCTCTGAAGTTCTGTTGAAGTTCGGTCGAGTTGAGGAGGTTCTACTCTATGTTCTACGTTCTACGTTCTACGTTGATGATCATCAAATACATCCCTTATAAAACAGACCTGATGTTCCTCTGACTAATCCAGAAAAAAAAATCAGCCTCCGTCACAGTGGAACTGTAGATGGCGCTCTTGCATTTAGTGGATGAAAACTGTTATTCGAGAGAATCGAGTTCTTGATCAGAACCTCTTTGACCACCTGGGCAGAATGGTTAGGAATCATAACAGACCTCAGGCTCCAGCCACCGCTCCACCCGCTGCTCCACCCGACCAGGCACTGGACTCAGTTCCAGTTCCAGTTCCAGTGTTACCGGTGTTACCATTTGCAAAATTCATTGGCGCTCGGCGTTTGGACTAAGATTTCAGCCTGACTCCACACAGCCTGGACGCATCCCATTAATTATGGACAGGTGTCTGGGCCGGGCCACGTGACTGTATGGGCTGTCCACAGTGTCCAGCCCATCTGACCTCTAACCCCTGTGATTTTTTTTGTTTATTATTTCTATATTTTTTCTACTGTTTTGTGGTTTTGGACAGATCATTTTTTATTTATAGTATTTTATTTATATATATGTCATAATCTAATCAATTTAAATATTTTACCTTTTATTTTGTTTATTGTCTGAGGTTTATTTTTTTAAAACAAATTGTCTTATTTTAATATTTTTTCTTTTTTCACAGAAAACTGAAGCAACTGGGGTGAAGAGACCGAGGGGGAGACCCAGGAAATGGGTGAGTCGGGGGTCTCTTTATCTTGTGTGTTGTGGGCCGTTCTTGACTTGTGTTGGACCTCAGAGTTCTGGCCATCAGTGCAGAACATTCAGTTCCAAACAGACGTCATGAGTACGAAGAGCGCCCCTCATGTTGGTCCCTCCCAGTTGTCGCTGCTGTGTTTGTGTTATCAGTCAGAGATAACGTTTACTCTCCACGATGTCCACACCAATAGTTTAATAATTCCCGCGGCCTCAAGGCCTCCGTGTTTGTCAGACCCTGAAG